GCTTTTTCTTCACAGACAAGAAGATGGATGTATCATCTTTATGACTAACTGATTAGATTTCCTGCCATAATTTTTCAAAAGCAACCTTTCTACAAATCTATTAATCTCAAACTGGACAGACTGCCATTTTCTGTTTCAAGTCTCTGATATTACTTCTCTCCATCAAAGGACAGAAGAGAAATAGGAAGGGATGGGTATAAATACTTATGCCTGACTCCAGTTAAACCAGTAGCAAGAAAATAATGCATACACTCTCCTGTGCATGAAAAAAGCATATGAAGCTGAGTCAAATCAATATACCTTGGTTCATCAACACCATCCTGATTGAATTCACTGTGTGGTTAATAATTCTTTAGAACACTGTTTTACCTCCTGTAATATTAGTGGAAGATTTTGCAAGTGCACTCATACACATGTGAAAAAGGAATTGTGGCTAACCAGTTTGGGTGCAGGAAGAGCATATTTATCACTTTCTATCTACATCATCTGAAAATTTATTTTGTGTCCTCTCATCCTGTACAGCTACAGCTTCTTATCGCACCACCTCCCTGTCCTCCTCCAAAAAAAGAGTTAAAGACACAGGGGAAAACTCTCTGGAATCTGCCTTTTTACATTATTTATGTATGAGGAGAAGAGCAATAGATTAATCACCTTCTGTTGGAAAGCATTCTGTCCCCAAATCCATCTCTTTATAGATGATATATTAGGTGAATATATATTTATTTTCCTTAAACATTTCAGATGAACTATATCAGCCACAGGGAATTCACAATCAGTCCTTATATTGATGAAGTAATTTATCACTCTTGTGAAAAAACCCAAACAAACCATAAATAAATGAGATTTGGGAAAAACAAAAAAAACCATTATCACTAAATACTGTGGCTCCAATGTTTTGAAACAGAACAAAAAATCTTGGGGCTTGTTATTGCTGCTACCTTTTATTAACTATGAGTGCTTATGTTTGGACTATTCTTTTCCAGTGATGCAAAGACTAATTGCATAATTCTGTTCTTCAGTCAGACACTACAACGTGAAATACAAATATCCTTCCTATAAAACAACAGAAACACTTCCCTCCACTGTTAAAGAGGCAAATCCAGTCCCTGTTCCCTGTCCTCTTGAGTTGTCACTCCACCTATGTACAGAGTTAGATGAGTTCACCCATCTTGACATCATAAACAATCTACATCTTATTCTGTGTCTGAAAATTCAGACCAAAGGCATTTTAAAATCTGAAAGATTTTTAAAATCTGACATATCAAATCATGACCAAGATCTTCAACAACTGGATCAAGAAGCTATTGCTTACAAATTACCATTCATAGAAGAGCCTATGTTATCACTGAAAGCAACTGAGAAGAGTGCATGCAACTCTGGAATCTTTTCCAGAGGCATAGTTTCATCAGGACAGAAAATCATGGTTATGCTAAGGCACCTGTAAAAGGTAAGATAGGGACAGAATGAAAGAAACCACTAGGGGAAAAGAAAGCTAGAAAATAACAAGTGAAGGCTGGAACAATGGATAAAAGTGCTCCCAATTACAGTTAAAGAAACAAACAACTTGGTAGCATTTCTTTGTTTTTCAAGCCATCAATCCCTCCATTAATATACATGCAACCATGCAATGCCTTTATACCCTTACAGAACTTTAAATCAGAGGATTACTCATGTACTGCTCATGCCTCCTCTCATTTGTATAACCTAGTCCTTCCAGTATGCCTCCAAAAACATTTTTTTAATAAATAATACATAAGCAATCAGCCTGGAGTGTATTTTATACTCCAGCTAGTGACAGAGAATAGGACTATACTATTGGACTCTTGTGCACTAGCAAATTATTTATGTACCAAAGATTTATTGACCTTACCTTATGCATTACTAGAATGAAAATCATATAATTCTAAACCCTTCTTCTGTATTAAATTGGAGAGCTAACACTACTGTATTATACAGCTCTATCTCTGCTTGGACAGATTGTTTAACAACTCCTGCTTACATGGAAGGATGAAACAATTCATTGAAGAATAGGTTATGTTTTAGTTACAGAATGAAGAATAATTCAAAGAACTTGTTCTCTTTCTAGTACTTTTCCATCTAAAAGCAAGAAATAGAAAGTTGATTGTGAATGAGTTCCAGGGGTAAGAGAGTAAAAAAATTTAAAAAACATTCATAAAAGTCATGTAAACCCTAGAGAACAGCTATTAGTCACTTCTCTAAAAAAGTTATTATCACTCCTGCAAATATTAAAATGAAGATTGAATACCTTAAACTACTATTTGCTTAAATGATAACCTAAATGTTCTCCGGACATGCCTAATTACACACATAAAGAAGAGAAGGCAGGTTGTCAAAAACGAGAAGTTACAAAATACAGTTTGGGAGTTTTGAAGAAGTCCTTTAAGAACTGATTTACAGTGTTTTTTCCAAGACTATGTGCCATTCAAGTAATAAACAGAAATTGAAGGTGTTTTGCCCTAGCAGCCAAACTGACATTAAGAAGACATCCTTCTTCAAAGGCTGCATGCAAAGTATTCAAAAATGCATTTCCTTATCACAGAACAGCTGAGGCCTTGTCCAAGGACCCTGCTCAAATCAGGGCACCCAGAGCAGGTTGCCCAGGACCATGTCCAGAGGGATTTTGACTATCCCCAAGGACAGATGTCCCACCTGTGGATTTCATTATCTGTGAATAGACTGCCTATAATATCCAATATTCAGCTCACTGAGAATAAGCTGAAAGTAAAATAAAGAAAGATTTGCTCCAATAGTACCTGTCACTCAGCAGAAATAGCTTTCAGGTAATATATTTTTGAGTAGACTACTCCAGCTAAAAATATATATTTTGCAAATTTTAAATTCTGAAGAATTGTTAAGTGTTCTGCAGACATTAAAATAAGAATTTTGTATTCATTCATTAGATAAAAAACCATGAAAAACTATGGGTATTGCTAATGGGTATTGCTAGGTGTGTTACAGGACCTGAAGATCTGTTTGTAACAAACCAGTTGGTGACTGCTGAAGCAGAATCCCTGACTGAAACATGTATCCTATTCCTTGATGGCATGGAAAACACAGTGTGAAGAGGTAACAGAACTGCTACTCAAGAGTGAATGCACCCTCAGAACGAGCTGAGAAATCGTGTGTTGTACCAGTTCATTTGTAAATTCCCCTTAACCTCCTGATGTATTCCCTTTCTCCTTTATTTTCCTTCTCTTTTATAACAGTCTATATTTTTTTTTACTTTTGGAAACACAAGTGGAGGTCCTAGCATGACATCTGGTAACAATGCAGACACTTTGCCACATACACTACACCCAAGAACACATTTTCATAAACTGGTCTTGCTGTCAGATGGATTCTCTGTAAATATAAGAATATAAGAAACGTTTCAGCTATTCAGAAGAAGAAATGTCAATAGATGAAGAGACTGAAAGAAGTCTTTCATCTGCTGGGTTGAAAGAAGAACATACATTTGAAAGGATTGCATGGGATGTACCAAAGTTAGTCCGCATTTTCTAATAACCTGTTATCTACCACTGTACACAAATGCACAGACTTTAAATAGTAGAATCAATTTGGGTTTCAAAATTTGGGGTCTTTCTTGTGTGCTTTTTTTAATTAAGTCCTCCAACCATTATATTCCTATTGTACAATGACTGGGTAAAATGAATGTGGTTCCCTTCTCCCATGCCTCAAAAAATCAGGAGTGTGCCATAAAAATCCTGAGTTATTGATAGCTGTTACTGCATACACACACCACCTGGTATCTAACAGAGTACTGTAGAAAAACACCTGCAAAATACAAGTATACAATCCAGTGTCATTTTTTAAATGTAAAATAGACCTTAAAGTAAACACTACTAATATCAATATTTAAATCCTTTTGTAACTGACTTTCAAGATGACTATATATTTACTGTAAAAGTAGCTGTTCATGTACAAAAGAAACACCATAGTAGTTCAAGCTCATTATTATTGAATAAAATCTTTGGCTAAAGGCACAGTTTTTCATCTTTAAAATGAATGTATCAGATGATAATTTTTCCAAGGCAGATAAAGGAAAGATTCAGTCAAGGTGACAATTACCATCTGGCTTGCTGCAGCTATTATGATGCTCCCAATTAAATGTACATGCAATATTATAACAAATTTTATTAGAATTGCAGTTAATTTTTAGATTAAATATCACTGTATTTGTATATTACTAGTATATTACTTTGTCTATTACTAGTAATTATTTTGCATATTATTTAAGTTATATATAGATGACTGTCTGCTTTGAAGTCTGATAATACAAAAATAAAAATAATGAAAAAGTCAGTGCCAAACTCTCCTGTGAATTTAGTTCCTTACTAAAGGAACTTCTTCATACATGTATGATACCATTTACACTCTTTCTTCCATACCCTTCTTATCCCATTTTGGGGACTGACTACTTCTCTGAGAGCTTGTTGGGAGTACAAATAAGGACAGAATCCAAGTAAGAGCAGACATAAAATCAGTTTAGTCTTTCACTCTTGTAAGTACATATCCAGTCACAGGTTGCACAGGAGGTAGAGAACACTGCCCATTAGGATTAATGAACCAACCAGGTCTTAAAAACTGTTGAAGAAAGCAAGAGTGTAGTATCTGAACACTCTGTGTTACTCCTATAAATACACTTATAAAACTAAGAGAAAACCAAGAACAGTGTACTATTTAGTTCTTTTTTTTAAGACTTAAATCTCGTGAAATTTAATTTTGAAATTATGGAAATTCAAAGAAACACATGAAGCATGTCTGACTAAACATATTCAGAAAACTGTTTCAATAGAAAGTTGTGAAATTTAATCTTTTGACTTCTACAGAAGTATTCCACCCTCTAAACAAAACCAGACGTAAGCAGAATTTTTGCTGCTGAATTCAATGTGTGCAAGAACATGTACTATACAAAAATCAATATCCAACTCTAATGAGAACATTATTTTATTTAAAAGAGAGTATTAAAAAACTATTACCTCCAGCAAGGATCTTCTCCTCCAAATCACTCATTTGTTTCTTGTATGCTTTTAAAGCAGCTTCCTTAAATGAGGGTCGTATTCTTTTTTTCTTTGGAATTTCAGTAACTTCAGTAATCATCTCTGGAACATTCTGATTTTCATCCTCCCTTATTTCTACTTCAGGAGCCATGTCACCTTCAACTTCCAATACATCTTCACTGATCACACTGTCAAACTGTGCGTCATATTGTTCCTCTGGTAGCATTTCATATGGAGTTTCATACAAAGACTGGTCCAATTCAAACTCTTGGACCTGCTCACTAGTTTCACTACTATTAGTCCTATTTTCTAGTTTAGCAAGGACTTGTTCCATTACTTCTACATAGTCTGTTTCATTCTCACCAGATGGCTCAATTAATTCTTCCTCATACTCTGCTTTGTAGCAATAAGGCTCAGCATAAACATCAGAATCAAGTGTTGTACTTGATTCATTTGCAGTAGACTGAGATAATGTTCTAAACCTTCCCATAAAAGATGATCCACTGTCTTCATACCCACTTAAACTTTGTGTACTTTTATTCCAGACTACTTCTAAAGCGGACTTAGCACGCTGAAGCGTAGATCCAAATTTAGGAAAGCTGAAAGTCTTATCAGAAAGATCTATGCTTAATCGGCTGTGCCATGATTTAGGGGCGGTTTCCTCTGAATCATCACTTGGTAGTTCACTTTGACTTCGGTACATCATAGGCAATCTGTTTTGATTCTGATAAGAGGAGATAGAATTTGTTTCCTGATAATCATCATATTGACCAGTCCACTGACTTTGTGTTTCGCTGTCAAGGCCTGGACATGATGGTGAAGTACCATCTAGAGTGAAATCATAGCTTTCAGTATCATACTGGAGGTCAGAACTTTGACCCTTTCCAAAATCTGTCTGTTGATCTGAAGGGCTGCTCATGTCATACACAAAAACTTCCTGCGTGGATGAGTCTAGGCCCAAATCTGCCCCTTGTTCCAACTGATTCCAGTTTTTCCATGGGGAGAGATCATCCTGTAAAGAAAGCTGACTATCATCGTAATGGTTTATGTCTCCAGATACACAGATTATTCCATTGCTTACTCCACTGCCTTCTATGTTCCCTGCTTCATTTCGTTCTGGATACTGTTGCATGTCTTGGGCAAAAGTCTGCTCCTGGGAACTGCCATACCAGTTTAGAGAATCATCTTGCTTTCGCTGCCAAAGTTCTCGATCAGAGGAAGACAGCAATGAACCGCCATTTGTTCTGCTGAAATACTGGTTTTCTGAAAAATCCTCAGAGTAAGACTGACACAATTTTGAGAAGTCTGATTCTGAACGGCTAAGCTTTGGTGTTGCAAAGTCATTCTGTAAATGCCATAAAGGAGTCACATCTGAATAATAAGTCTTTGATTGTTTTTCCATAGTGTCAAATTCTGGTGACTGATTGTCATAACTTCTTCTGTGTGAAAAGGTGCTATTGTCAGTAGTTCTGTCAAGGTCTTCAGTGTTTGGGGACTCTGTAGTCCCTTTTGTAGTGCTTGTTTTTATCTGAAGTGCTGATTTAGATATTTTTGCATAACTGTTCTTATTTATATCTGATTCCAAGTCTTTATCACTGTCAGGTGACTCCCAGTCATGCATTTTAGATTTTGTCTCCACAGTTAAAAGTTTCATATCCATGCTTTCATATGTCTGAGAAGAAGGCAGTCCTCTTTCTTTTTTATCTTTTATTTCATGGGAAAATATATCTGTGGAAATTCCAATACCAGTTCCCTTAAGTTTATAAGACTTTTTTAAAATCAGATCTCTCTGTTGTGATGACTCAAAGTAAACAAGAATGGGTCTTGGCTTTGCATTTGGACAGTCTCTTTGCTGCCCAAGCCTTTGGGCAAACTCAATTTTAATAGTGCTTTGTGCCTCTGAGAATCCCATTTTTTCCATTAATATTTTGTAAACTATGCTTTCAGCTTTTTCAAGCCGCTCTTCAGGCACATTTAGAAACCTAAGACTTGCTTTGTTTCCTGGATGGCCTATCTGCTTAATGTAGTCATGTATGTCCCGTGTTTCTCTTCTGGACTGCACAAATCCAGTTCGCAATTGTTCAATTTCATTTTGCACAACTTCTACACTACTAGAAATTTCATCAATTGATTGTTTCAGAGCATTAACATGCCCTCTTAATTCAGAGAGTTCTGTTTCAATTTGACTTATTCCCTGAAGCTCTTTAAAGATCATTTCCATAACATCGTGGGTTTGGCTAATACAACCTGTCGAACTAAAGCCAGGTTCAAGGGTATTTGATTTCTGGTGACGGCCAGTTCTGTCCAGAGATTTACTTCTTAATCCCCATGTTTTCCTCCAAGAACTTAGCTCTGAGTCTGATGAGACACACTCTTGGCTCTTTTTCCACTTCCTTAGTTTTCGTAAGGCTCCCAGCTTCAGTGTGTGTAAAGTGCGTTCTCCATCCGAACTCCCATCAGAGGCCGCGAGGCTGCTCAAGCTTTTCCTGTTGCGTCTCACAGGCATTGTGTGGGATAAGTATTCGTTTTTCTTGCTATTAGTTTTTACTTCACTTAACGACTCAGAACATGAGCTATCATTTGAAGACAGGTCTTGAACTAAATCTTCATTATTAGTATTTGCTACAAAAATATGCCTTTGCAGTCCGTTGGCAATAGCAACTCTGTAACTGAATGTTGGAGAAAGTGAAAATTCTCTATTGCTTTCCTCTTCTTCAGTTGATAAGTTGCGAGCAGATGGGCACTTGGCAATCTTTTTAACAGTGCTTTTTAAAGTATTTGAAAATTTTGGATTTTTTGTTTGTCCAATCTGAGTTAAGTCTTGTTCCTTTTTGCTCTGACAACTCTCTTTCCTTTTTGTACTGTTTCCCGATTTCTTTGTAAACATTCCTTTGCAAATCTTATATAGATAAGATGAGATCAGGCTCTTGAAGAGGGCAGAAACCATGGAGTGTAATTTATTCTAAGCTGTTTCCACAAAATACAATTTTTGATCCAGAGAAGTATTTGTATCTCCAAAAGGATCATTGGCAAATGTTTCAATGGAGACTACAGCCATAAAAGCTACTGATGCTCTGGAATAAGGTGACAGAAAAATAAAAAATAATCATGCATCTGCTTGTTCAAAACAAAATCCTGAAGAGGTTTTGTATGTCTTGCAAAATCTCACTCTGCTGTACATGGCTTCTTGAAGCGTCTAAAAAGGAGGGAACGACATTACAATGGCTGCCAAACAAACTTGTAATTCAGTATTACTGATGACTTTTAAACTAGAATATAATGAAAACACAGATGATTCCCCATAATTGTCTGAATAGATTTTTTCATGAATAATTGAAGTTGAAAACAGTTCTAAGCAATATTGTTAACACCAATTAATAAGTTTACTTATTTCCAGGCTTCTTCATCCAGTTTAATTCTCTGACTTTAACAGAGATATTCAGTTTAAATGCTCTCTGCTTTCTTTCAGAGTACCGACATTTCAGTTTAGTTCCATATGATATATGGCAGTGATCAAAAATACTGATGGGTAACAAATGGAACCATCTAGTAAAACAGAAGTACAAAGCTTTCTCTTGCTTTGTCTTTTGGAGCAAGGTAGGATTCAGGTACAAGTGAGTATTGTATTAATGAAATGCTGTTCTATCTTGAGATTGAATTATGTACATGACTATGGTTTTTGAAAGAGTTGCTTTGACTTTAACATGCTGTGATAAACCAGGACTCAAAAGTGGGCTTATCTTCTTAGTTTCTCTTTAAGAAGAAAAAAGAAAATAACTCGCAGAACATAATATAAAGTAATGACAACAAATGGAAATTCTCATCCAGGTTATTAAATCTGACATTTTTCAGGTAACAGAAAAAACCCCTCCAAACCTACATAAAACATGGTTTACAAGTTGCAGGACATAAACTGGTGCCATAACAACAGGAAAACTATTTGATCTAAAAGAAGTCTAAAAAGCTTCCATGAGGTATCTGGAAGCTTCTATTCCATAAAACTAAAGCTTGTATTCCATAGAAATGTAGTCAAAACATTTTAAACATGTCAACATATTCTTCTGTATTGTATATTATTCACCTCCCAGTTTCATAGCTGTGGAATAAAAACAAGGTAACCAGCTCAGAAAAATCCATCAAAGAAGTTCTTATAATGGTTGATTTGGTTTCTAAAGCAGCTAAAAATTCTTTGGCAGAATAAGAAGTCTGTTTAGATACAGGGTATATAAAAGGTTAAAGATTGCTCTCTGGTCTCAAGAGGAGTAAAGAATATGAACTGTCCTTGTCTGCAAACATCCTGGCATTTTATGAAACACCATGGTCCACTGACACAACTCAAGATCTGGTCTTTGCATTGCATAATTTTCCTTCATTGACCTTACTATTATACTCTATGTATTTATTCATTACATAAATACACACTGTGTAATGGTAAATAATAATCACTAACCTCTGATAAATACTGCAGCAGCAAAATGCACTGTACTGCATAGAGCACAGGCAAAGCTGCTAAAAGCCTGGTTGGATTCTGCAATCCTGGAACAGAGGATGTAAACAGACTCATTTCTTTTCTAGTTATAAAAGAAGTGGTATGTAGGGTGAGCAGAACAATAGAAAACATTCTTCACTCTTCCCAAAGTGGCTATTTATTATTTTAGGAAAAAGTGAAATATCTGTGGGACATGAATCACATTTTTAACACACATCAGCATAGCCCTTGCCACTTCTTTTTCTTACAGGCTCATGCTTAAAGTATCAGGAGTGAATTAAGAGCAAGCAATATTTGGAGGCAAGAGAATGCTCAATGAGACTGCATGCAATTTTCAAGGAATGCAAATGACATCTCTCAGAATATTGAGAAGTTTTCACTAGGGCCAAGGCTGCCTTGTTTTCACATATTATTAGTAGAGAAAGGAGCCATCTTGGGACACTTTTCAATGTCAAAGGCATGTTTCTGGATGTAGAAACACTTGTTAACCATTCAGCTCTTACACTGAATGTTTGTAACCATTTATTGAACAAGATTTGAAGTGTGATTGCCTACCTCCTCTGCCCACATAGCCACAGATTTTTAAATGCCCTCATATAAACTTCTCTTAGATGACTTGGACATTCTTCAAATGACTTCAAATCAAGAATGTATAAACAAGCCAGAAGGCTTGTTTCCTGTCTCAGTCTAAAACGAATCAAGAAATAATGAAGTTATCACTGGAATTTGGAACATTTCCATTCACTTTAAATAAGGTTTAATGCTCTGTAGAAGAATCTTTATTTCATAGCAAGGCATGTACATATATGTGTATGTGTCTGTGTGTTTTATCCAGTGTCTAACCAATGCTTTTTATTAGAGATAACTGAAAGTGTTACAAATAGCTGAAAATTCAGCACTTAATTTATATAAACCCTGTTTCTGACAACACAGTAGAGAATTAAAAGCTGTACTGTTAGAAACACGGGGAGATCTGCTAAATGGAGCAGATTTATGTTCTCTCATGCGAGTTCTATTCCATCTCAGCTGTATTAGTCATATGATCTGTTAATCAGTTTACAGCCTACCATGGCTGTCAAACACTCATTTTCTACAGTAGTATGTCTACACATAGAATCAAGTTTGAGTCATTACAGGTCTCATCCATTTCTTTCTCTAAAGATTTGCATAGGTTGCTCTTAACATTTTAAATCAATGTAAGGTAAAAACTCCCTAAGATAAGGAACAGTCTTTCAAGAACCACATAGAACTAAGTCAATTATTTGAATGAGCTGCAAGTTGTCATTTGGAGAGCTTCTTGTTTCATCCAGGTCTGCCAATAAACAATTATGACCTCATTTTTTAACATCTCACTTTGCTTGCTTATTGAACGAAAACAATTTCTATGATGAAGTTCAACATGGCTGGGTTAACCCATTCTAAGCATAAGGAAAGATGTTGAAATGTTACAGCAGTGAAGTACGGACTATGTGCTAGATGGTAACAGAGAAGGAAAGTGGAAAGTGTTATGGATTGTGAGACTAGAGCTAAAATAAATTCTTAATGGGGTCCTTCTATAAAGGACAAACACTTCCAGAAACTTTTGACCCATAGGAAGTCTGAAAATAATTTTGTTGATCAACTTGATGGTGAACAGATAATGTGGACCAGTTCCAAGCATATCCAACTGGATTTGTTGATAACAAAGCATTGTCAAAATAAAAATGTCAGTTGGAAGCATAGTTTATAAAGGATCTGATTCTAAGTCTAAAACTAATGTGTCAGGTAGAAGGGGGGAGGAGTGGGCTGAGTTAAAAATGATACATTTTTAAATAATGCAAACAGAGTATTTTAGTTACATACCGGAACACCAGATCCCCATTTCAAAAAAGTATTTTAACAAATTCAACCCTTAATTTTTATCAAAAAAGAGAAGTGAATCATCTTAAAAATATAATTTCAGTATTTAAATAGAATAGCTAGATCACTGCTCAGCTTCTGTTCAGGCTCTAGTAAATGAAGCTGCAGAGCAGAAGCTCTCTCCAGTAAGAGGTAGCTTTTTGGATGCAGACTGTCCTCCTATAAAGCAAGAAGGAGGCAGAACCATAGCCTTACTTAACCTTCACACTATTAGTCAGCTACAAGGGGTCTGTGTGTATTGAAAGGGGGCAGGCAAGAAGATGAGACTGAAGTGTAGTCTCTCTCTGTAAAATATCCTATGACAGCTCATGTTCACAACACCAGGATGAATCCAGGGGAATCAAAGCAAAACCAAGAGGTCTTAATCTGCAGCAGTACCACTCTATTACTGCCAAAGACTCCATTAGAGTCTATGGACAGAAACATATTTTTGTGATATGCAAAATACTCCACAGAAATTAATTAATCAAACATAACAAAAAAAATGTATAAACAGTCTACTCTCCTGTAGAAACTGAGGCTAAGAGAGGTTCTCTTACCATCAGAAACATAAGGAATCAACAACAGAATTCAGATATATAGATTTATTAATTTTGGTCTTTTATGAGTCTTGTGCTTGCCTGGGAATAAGATTATCTTGACATAAGTGCACTTGCCCTCAGCTCAGGTCTGCTGGGTGAAACCTGTGATCCCTTCCTTTTGACAAGTGATACAGTGTACACTCCACACTGCTTCATGAATTTACTGTAACAGGAGCATGATACTGACAATCATCTCAGATGACCTAATTCAGAAGAACTTCATTTAGAGCACTTATCTGCTCCTTTATATTCTTCCTAAATTCTCCTTGTAGTCTTAACTACTGACATTTTTAATCTGTGTAATTTGTGAGTCTCTTAAGGTAAAATGAAACTTAACACTGCATATGCTATGTGGATGACCTGCCTGAAGACCCTGGCAAAGGCAGGGATGAGGCCAATGAAGAGACCTGCTTTCTCTTTTGGTTAATTACTCTTGATTCCAAGAATTCCTTAGGTTTTCACAGCAGGAGACTTCTGCCCTATCCCTTCAGCCCCTCCAGCATTCACATAAAAGCATGGAGTGCTATCAGAACTCTCCCTTTGGCTAGGAAGCTGTTCCTATTCTTCAAAATTATTTGGGAAGTTTACTATATCTGCTTATTTACCTGGTGATATCTCTTTTATTTATGGATATCTAACCACCCTCAGAACATGTTGCCTTCTCTATTTCTAAGAATGTAAAAAGCAAAACTAACCACCAAACTGCTGATTCAAACCCCAGTTGTAAGAGCCTACAATCTGCTTATTTTTTAACCCACAAGGCCTACTGCTGTCCTGGGGAGGTTGCACACATATTCATGGGGTACACCACAGAATCCAATCTAAAAATTTAACACTCATATTGCAAGACTGGTCATTCATAGCTGTTATGCATCAGCATACAATTTAACACGGTTTAAGGAAAACAGATGGAAACAGCACATGCTTAAACTTGACTGGCTCATTGTGATTTTGAACATCTAACCCAAAAATCTCATCTAGAACTTAGTGCACTAGTGAATTAACTCAGTAGTTAAACAGTTGCTATTAAATGACTTTGTAATGTATAGAAGCACACTGTCTTTGAATTAGCTTAGAAGAAAAGGTAAATTTCTAGCAAGCTAAGAAAGTCATCTTCACTGCTTCCTCACTAATAGTATGACCACTATGGAAAAAAGAGAGGATTTGTTTTGTTCAGTAAAAGATAGATTTTTTTTTTTGCAATTGCTGTTGAAGACAGATAAATTG